TTATACAGTATAAATAATAATAATAATAATAATTGTAAATAATCATTGTAAAAATTCTGTAGACATCTCGCGAGACGACTACCGTATAAATAATTGTTCGTTCGTTTTACAGATGAACCTTGTTAAAACAACGGTAACGGCCTAGGCTTATTCGATCGTATTGATCTAAATAACACTTACTACGAACGAGTCGTGAATGTACGTAAATAAATTGTATATTTAAGTACGCATACGAACAAGTCACCCTGGACAACGCGAGTATCGCCGGCATAGATAGAGAAGGTCTTTCTTGCTGCACGATCTTGAAAAACCCGCTCAAGACGCGATTACGTATCTCGGTGAATTCTGTTGATTATTTTTCAGATTGTATACAAATGTAATGGTACTTTCGAAATTCGTCATTAGGCGTTTTCCAATTAATGCTTATCCCACTTGTTTCACTGAATACTCTGTTTTTTTTTAATCGATTATTGGAATCTCGGTATCAGATAAGAGGAGGTTTACTAAATAACCTTATCAGATGAATCGGACGTACAAATATAGGACAAAAATGCCCCTTTTGTTTTGCCTTCTTTACCCTGTTTCATTTGAATTCATTTCATTTAAACTGTCACATTTTATAATAGCTTCTGTACGCAAGTTTGAAGAGCTAAAGAAACGATAGAATTGTTTGATACGTACACATGAAATTGAACAGATAAATCAGATAAACGATACGAGGCCCGTTACACGCACCGGTGGGCGGAATCTCTAACCATTTAAAATACTGTCACAAATGGTAATCTCGTATGATCTTTGACATCATAAGAAAGGAACATGTGCCGCCATCTAGAGCAAAAAATTCGTCGCAAGATGGCGATACTGTATTCTACAATGGCTGCCAAATGGCGGGAATAAGGTGAACTACAGGTAGATTTTGTTCAATGGTGAACCGTTTTGAACCGAATTAACTGCTATTGATTATTTCACATGGAATACGCTTGGATTCTTTGTATATGAAGATATTCGATTTATTTTGAGCCATATTTCCACAGTAGCTTCGTTGCATGTAAGTAATTAATAATAATAAGATTCATTTTTTCGCAAAGCATAGAAATAAGGTAGGCATGTACAAAATAAAATCTTTTTTATGTGTATAATTAAATATATATCAACAGATCTTTTGTTTTTAAAGAACAATTGAATCAGTTTATTATAGTTACATCTGTGATTATCATTTTATGATACGCGTATTGCATATTTAATATCATAAATCTGTCTCCATTTACTGATTGTATTAGTTTATTATTTTTATATTGATCTAACAAATGATATACTTGCGTTTATCTTCTAGAAGAAAGAATGTAGATTACAATACAAACGACAGCGTATTCAACGAATGACATGAAATTAAAGAATCAGAAAAGACTAAATAAATCATCTAAATCTCCAAACACTCATACAGAATGTGTACATGGAATGAAGAATAAAACTTTTAAAAAGTGAAAAAGCTTTTATAAAACACATTCGAATAATACTTTGCCTTTATCAAAAATGAAAAGGAATATGAGTTTGACTATGAAATTATCACCAAGATCACAGAGACTTAAGACGTCGCCTAAACGTAATGATTCATTGGCAGAACCAAATTTATCCAATGTCAATATAAATAAAAGGCATAGCTTGTCAACGTATAAAGTATCAAAGAGCCCCAGAATTATTTCACAATCAAAGAGCAAAAAAATACAGAAGATTTCAGATATTAAACAGTACAATACTAGAAAGTTCCCAAAATCTCCAAAGATTATGTTAAGATTACCAAAATCAAAATCTCCATCTAAGAAGTTAAGTTTGTCGGAATTAAAAGTGTTTAACACAAGTAAAACCGTGTCGCCAATGAAAAAAAGAAGATCTACATTTTCAAGAAAAAGTAATATTGATAAAACAAACTTTAAAGCTTCAGCTACCTATAATACAGATATAGTTACTTTTATCAGCAAGAACTCTGTAAAAGATACGTTACTGTTAAAGAAACCAATAGTATTATTACAAAGACTCCCGAACAATATTATGTCTAAATCATCCTCAACTTCTTTCTTAGAAATGCATGTAACTGATTTACACAGTAGTACTAAGAGATCAGCCTTAAATAGTAAAAACAATAATGATAAAATTAATGTTAAATCATCATCTAAGTTCCTAGGAACTGTAACCAAACCTTTAATGTTTTCTACACCCATAAATAAACAGCGAGTAGCTAATGGTACTCGAAAATCAAGAAGGATATCGAACAATATGATTATACAAGATACTGAAAATCAAATCAGTTTGGTAATAGAAAATGAGCAGACTGTGGGAGAAAAGAAAAATGAAACATATGAACTTATTGAGCCTAAAACACCAAATTTACGAAATATGTTACATGAGAGACGAAATATGAAAACTGATAAAACAAATTCAAACAAAAGAGCAACAAAAAAAAATCTTGAAGTAAATTTCAAGAGTCCTGTCTTGGATATTAGTTGTTCAGAAGTTCCTCCGTCACGAATACAATCCAATAAAAAGAAACTCGCAAAGGAGTCTAACAATGTATCAACCAGAGTAAATATTAACAAAAATGCTGTGATAGTATCAACAGCACTTCTCAAAACACCCGATTCTGTAAGCAAGAGAACTGTTCCTTCCATTAAAAAATCAGGTAATATTCTATAATATCTATTAATGTACATGTCGGTTAATTGACCATTTTATAAAACTGTGAATAAATTTACATGAAGATCAATCTAAATATTTCCGTTTTTAGGCTCAAAGAATTCTTCAACGAAAAAGGTTCCAAATTTTGCTAAAATTCATAAAAAACTTTTTGCAAAATCAGAATCTATTATAAATGTAAAGAAACGGTTGGAAGAAAGACATATGGCATTAAGTAATATATTACAATCTTTTTGAACTTATTTCCTTTGATATATGTCAACAATAATTTTTTATCAATCTTTTAATCTCTTTTTTAGCCAAACCAACAATAAACAATTTACCAAGGTCCAATACGGACACAAAAAATAATTCATTATCTCGTAATTCAAACAAGGACGATTACAACCGATTTGGATATAGAATAAGGAAAGATAATGCTACAAATTACATTTTGAGAAAATATAATGCAGACTTAATAAGGTAATGTTCTAAAGACCATTGAAGTTTTGAAGTTATGAAAATGTGAATATATATTAAAATTTCTTGCTTGTGGATTTATTTTCAGAAACAAACAACAAAAGAACAGAGAAATTCTAAAAGGTGTGAGAACGAATCGGCGTTTTGAACTGCAAATGAAATCCAGAAATGTAAAGTTTTAATGATTGCAATAATTTTCTCAAACGAGAAAAATTGGAACATTAAAACACAATGAATTCAATGTTATCTCGAAGATTTTTAATAGTTTCATTTAAACCAGTTGAAAATTTTATTAAGTTGATACCATTCTTGATCCGACTACGATTGTTCTGTTATCAATTACAAAAGCAGTTATGTAACTTTAATTACATTTGATTGTGTGTAAGCATAATTGTGCTCAGTACCGACGAGTGCATGTTCTATTTGTTATAATTATATTCTCTTTGTATTGTATACCACTAATAACCCCGAATAATAATAATAATCATGTCGTCATTAATAAATTTATATTTCTTAAAAGTGATCCATCTTTTAAATATCCACCTTATTAGGGAAGTATATATGGAAATATTCAATATTTCTTTTCATCTATATACTCTGGAATTTACATTATAAAAGATTTGTTAAACTGATTTCATTATTTATTCATATTTAAATTTTCTGAAGTATTGCGAACAAATTTCTGTTCTCCAAAATTCTGTTGCGCGGACAGATTACGTGGCAACGTGCAAGTGAGAAACATCGCTGCTTGTTAACACCGAATGACATTTCTCTTAAAGCATTGTCATTCACTTAATTGAAAAATGTATTACGATGAAAACCAAGGAGACTTAGAGACCGAACTATTAATAAGATGGTGCTATACAACCTATATAATTACCAATTAAATCAATAAACTATTAAATTTACGATGAAAAAGTGCGTTATGAAATATTAATTACAAGGAATGATTTTTTCGATTTCAAAAGGGAATTAATTATTCAGTCTGGACCTTAAAATGCACGAGTGAACGCGTATGCGCATGTACGTGACAATGCTAAATTTCTAAACCGAATGTTGGTAAATTTTTATCCTTTTAACGTTATCTACCGCAATATATACATATATATGTACATATATGTATGTATATATCGAAGCGCTCCTTGGTTTCAAGAAGTACCGAGGAACACTACACAACAGTGGATTACGTAGTGAACAGCTGTTTGGAGTGAAACATTCTAAATATTCTTTGAAAAAATTGATTTTGTTCGCGATATCTCTTCGACAATAGAAAGATTTATAAAAATAGAGTAGAAGCGGTGGACGTTGAATTTATTTCGAGACTGATCGATTTTAAGGATATTCGTGAATACGAACAACACGATCAAAATGGTATCCCTAAGAGTATCTCCCGTGTTAGCTGTCAAATAAATGGACGTAACTTAAGCTTGCGAACTGAAAGAGACAAGTAAAATTCTAAAAATGGATGTCGTGACAACAAGTTTGGAAGCTTTGATACGTAAGTTAAATTTTAGTATATCCATTGTAAATACGACAAATATTTTGTCAGCCGGAATTTGTTTCGCAGAAAGAGTAACGAATCCACAAAATCAAAAACCCGATATTGCGGCTATCGAAGCTTTTTGTGTAATGTTGACTAAAGAACCAGAAGGTATTCAAATTGGTACAAAGTTATTAGCATTACATATTCAATCGTCTAATGAGTCAGAAGCGCTTCAAGCTCTTGTCGTAAGTTTATTCGTAAACTCTTATTTAAAACGAACGTTAGAACGATTAATCAGTAAACTAAAGTTTCTTTTACTTTATTTTAATTATTTTTCATTGTAAAGTTAATATCTTTCGATACTAATAAATGATATTATATAGATACAGAAAACGAATTCTTAGTTATAGGCATTCAAAATGATGATAATGCAATAAGATTTTAAGTCTTGATAATTTCACAGCTATTGGATATGTGTATGCAAAGATGCGGGTCATCTTTTCATGCAGAAATTGGTAAATTTCGTTTCTTAAATGAAATGATACGACTAGTTTCGCCGAAATATTTAGGTGGAAAGACACCGATCGTGGTACGCCACAAAGTATTACAATTACTACATACATGGACGAAGGAATATCCACGTGAAGTGAAAATCAAAGAAGCTTATGAAATGTTGAGAAAGCAAGGAGTTATAGAGGTTAGTTTTATATCTTATTTATTAGTTATATTTCCTTAACGTTATTTCTGGTAAGACGCGCCAGTAAACAACGTCTGTATACTTAGGATGATGTGTTGTGCACAATTAATGCTTCAGAGGATGCATCAAAAACATCAAAAGCTAAGCATACAATATTTGATGATGAGGAGAAATCCAAATTATTGCAAAAATTACTTCAAAGTAAACATCCTGACGACTTATTAGCGGCAAATAGACTTATTAAATCTATGGTGAGAGAGGTGAGCAAAACGTGTCTGAAATACTACATAACTATTATATCAGGTATATTAATGATTCTTTTGTAGGATGAAAGAAGGGTACAGTTGAATTCGCGTAGGATAATGGAATTAGAGTCTATACATAATAATGTAAAGTTATTGTCTGAAATGTTAGATTCTTATAATTGGAAAGAAACCAGTAAAGAAGACCTTGAGTTGATGAAGGAATTGAAACAAGCCTGTGAAAGATTGAAACCAATTGTACTTAGATTAGCAAATGAAACTCAAGATAATGAAGAAATGCTTGGTAAGCATTTATAATAATAACTAACATTCGTTCAAATGAAATACAGATACGACAGTCGTCGTTTCTAATGTTTAAATAATTTACACTAGGCGATGTGCTCGCTGCAAGCGACGAATTGGAACAAGTCTTCGAAAAATATTCGGCGGTTATAGACCGTGGTGAATGCTTAAATCCTAAAACAGACTCCAATGTCAACTCGTACTTATTAGACCTGTCTTCGCCGATAGAAAATAAGCCTGTCGAAAACAGTGAAATGAATAAGGTTTACGACGCAACTGGAATTAATCATCAATCGGACATGGAAGTTCTAGGGGATATCTTCAGTTCATTAGGAAGATCTGAAAATCCAGAAATCCCTTCCGTCTCCACTACAAATCTATTAATGTCTAATTCGATGATCATGCAACCAATAAGTATGCACCCGACAAATAAAAAAGGTCTGTGATGCTGAAGTATTTAATACATGCTTATACCACTCGAATAATACTGAAGCTTTGAACGCATTAAATATTTTTAATAGCGGATTTGACCCGGTTACCAATGATAATAAACAGTTATTACTATACCAATAAGCAAGAATGAACAAACGGTGAATAATTTTATTCCATCGCCAGGTGAAACAGTCGACACACCTGAAAAGAAAATGGACAGTAAATCAAGAGCATTGGAGGAACTGAACGAATTAGGGGAGTCGTTGCTTAAACAAAGTTTATCGGACTCGGTATCAAATATTCGATCCTCCTCGACAAGGTTGGTAAAGGTATGCAATAAATGATAAGAAATTACAATCTAAATGAGCTCTTTTCATAGTAAGGAGATAAGCAATATCAAAGTACGTGCAGAAATTCCATCGAAACATAATTCAACGGTTATTCCAAGTAACGATCCTTCTAATTTTTCTGATTCATTGGACATTTCAAACGCAACGAACGGTGAATCAATTAATACTTGCACAAATCATATCGTTGATACAAATGATGCGATCTCAACACAAGTGTGTGAAAGTCCATCGGTTATACGAGACGCTATTTTGATTGCACCAACGACAGAAGACATTCTGTGTGCAGAACCAGAAATCAAACCGTTGACGGACATAAACGTTAGTCTTCACGACATTAAACCAGGTACTTACAACTTCTACATTCATGTTCTTTATTTTTAATAAAAATGTTTAATACCCTTAAACGTAAATTTCCTGATATTTTAAAAACCACATACTTCGAACAGGCACCAACCCACCCATAACCGTGCTCGAAGAAAAAAATGGTATAACTGTCGTGCTTCATTTTGCCCGAGATAATCCTAGGCAAGACGTGTATGTCGTAGTAATTACAACGATGAGCAAAAATTTGAAGCCACTTAGTAATTATTTGTTTCAAGCAGTGGTACCAAAGGTAAGTGCAAAATGTCAATTGAAGGTTAAAGTGTAAGAACTGACTGGAATGCAAATTCCTTTCTGTTTTTCTGCTTTATATCTGTCGCAACCGACTTTGCATATTTAAATTTACAGAAATGTAAATGTAGACTTCAACCACCTTCTGAAACTGTATTACCAGCTCATAATCCATTTCTTCCTCCATCGGCAATCACTCAAATTATGCTGATTGCAAATCCCAGTAAGGTAAACAAAAATTTTCATTTCAAATATATCTGTTCCTTGTAACATTCTCGTTAACAGTTACTGGATAACGAATTTCTGTTGCAGGAATCAGTGTCATTAAAATTTATGTTAAGTTACACAATGGAAGACGAAACTTTTACAGAAATGGGAGAAGTGGAAAAGTTGCCTTTACTTTGAAGAATATTTTCTAACGGTAATTTGAAATCATTATACCAACT